AGCTGGGAGGGGCCTGAGAACAGGAGATGGCAGAGCTGGGAGGGCCCTTAGAACAGGGGATGGCAGGGCTGGGAGGGCCCTTAGAACGGGGGCTGGCAGGGCTGGGAGGGCCCTGAGAACAACGGATATTAAGGCTTATGGAGGGCCCCCAAGGTTCACGCTGGGCACTGATGGGGTCCTCATTTCCTGGCTGCCCGGCCTGTCTAGTCCCCTCCCCCATCCTCACTTGTCAGTATTCCTGGTTTTGTTCTCCGGTCCTCTCTCTCCTCACCCTCCCTCAGTGTTCTGCATCTCCCCCAGCACCCCCAGGCTGCCCTTCCTTCTGCCTGGTGCCTAGCTCTGGAGTCAGAGGCCCTGGGTTCGGGTTCTGCCTCATGATTTTCTACCTGTGGGACCTAGCTAAAGTCATTTCATTTCCTTGGTCGGACAAGATGGCCTCTGAGGACCCTTTGAGCCTGGCTTGGAGCTCTGTTCAAGGCTTCCGTGTGATACCTCAGCCAGCAAATATTTATGGAGCACCTACTGTGTGCAGCCATGGGGGATAAAAGCACAAAGAATGAAATAACCAAGTGGAAAGAGCCCTGGATTTTAAACCCAGGGACCTGGGTTCAGGTGCTGCTGTTGCTTCTTACTAGCTGGGTGACTTTGGATAAGTCACCTCCTTTTCCCAGGGTTTCAGTTTCCTTGTGACCCGAGGGTTCTGTAAGACCTGTTTGTGGCTCTGATCCTGGAAGGACCTTGAGGCCGAGGTTGCTGGTCAAGGAGGATTTGAACCCAGGGCCGAGGCAATGTCCTTCCCGCTCTCAAACGGTCCCATTGGTCTGAAATTCTCTCAGGGGCCAGGAGGGCTGGGCCGCCCCCACCCGGTCAGCTCAGCCCCCATCTTCCCTTCCCTCAGGTCATCCCCAAGAGCAAGTATGTCTTGGTCAAGTTCGACACCCAGTACCCCTATGGGGAGAAGCAGGACGAGTTCAAGACCCTGGCCGAGAGCTCGGCCTCCAGCGAGGACCTCCTCATTGCCGAGGTGGGGATCTCAGGTATGGCCGGGCCGCACGGGAGGGGCCGAGGAGGAGTCGCCCCGGGCTGGTGGGACCCTGAAGGAGCCGCTTTGCTTCCTATCCCTCCCGTGGAGCTGGGGAGACCCCCGGCCTTCTCTCCCCAGGATGGGCCAGGGAGCAGCAGCAGGGCTGGGTGGCGGAGCTTCCCAGGTGGCTGCCCAGGGCCTCTAGTGACCTGCGGCCAAAGTGGGGGTGGGGATGGTGGTCTTTTTCAGCTCCTTGGGTCCTACGGCAGTGTGTGTCTGTGTGTCTGTCTGTCTCCCTCTCCTCCCTTCTCTCTCTCTGTCTCTCTCTCCTCCCTCCCTTCCTCTCCCTCTTCCTCTCCCCCTTCCTCCTCTCTCTCTCTACCTCTCTCCTCTCCTCTCTCTCCTCCTTCCTCCTCTCTCCCTCTTCCCTTCTCTCTCTCCCCCTCTCTCTGTCCACCTCCTATGAAGATGCAGCTCCTTCCAGGCTCCAGGGGCCCAGTTCTCCTCCCTGCATCACAACTGCCTTGGTCTCCAGAGCCGTGGCCTTCCCTTTCTCTGGGGGCACAGCCAAGGGAAGAAAGGGGGCCGGGAGGGACATCTCGTGGTCACCCCAGGTACCCGGTCTCTCACTGCTGCCTTCCGCAGTGGCCGTGCCCCTCATGACTGGTTCCATTCACAGATTATGGCGACAAGCTGAATCTGGAACTCGGCGAGAAGTATAAGCTCAGCAAAGACAGTTACCCGGCCTTCTACCTCTTCCAGAATGGGGACTTTGAGAAGCCGGTGCGCTACCAGGGGCTGGTGAAGGTGGGCGCCATCCAGCGCTGGCTGAAGAGCCAGGGCGTCTACCTGGGCATGCCCGGCTGCCTACTCGCCTACGACACCCTGGCTGCCCAGTTCCTCGATGCCGCCGGGGCAGAGGAACGGAAGGCCATGATAAAGCAAGGCCAGGCCAGCCTGGCTGGCGTCAAGGAAGCCGAGAAGAAGTGGGCCGAGCAGTACCTGAAGATCATGGGGAAGATCCTGGAGCAGGGCGAGGGCTTTGTGGCCACGGAGACGGCCAGGCTCACCAAGCTAATCGAGAAGAACCAAATGAGCGAGGGGAAGAAGGAGGGGCTCCAGAAGACCCTGAACATCCTCACTGCCTTTCAGAAGAAGGGGGTGGGGAGAGAGGAGCTCTGAAGAGGCCTGGGGGAGGGAGGCCTGGGGGGATAGGAGCAGGAAGAAGGGGAGGCATCCGTGGGACCGGTCCAGTGACCCGTGCATCAGGGATCTCCAGATGCGGGTACCAGACGCACTCGAGATCTTCCTCCCCGCGCCCAAGTGGTGAAATTGGGGAGAACTCCTGTCAAACTGCCCCCAGAGAAGACTTGGTGCTAATACCCACAATAAACAGTGCGCTGCTCGGGCCCGGACAGTCTAATTCTCTTCCAAAATTAAAAGTCTCCATGTCCCGGTTTGGTAGCCCCCCTCCCAAGTCCCTTCTTCTCTGGGTTTTCTCTCTCCCTCCTGCTGCCTGGGGATCCCCTAGCTCTGTACTCTGATTTCTGCCATCACCCTCCCCGCCATTTTTGGTAGCAGTCGAGGGCGATGAAAATCCTCTTTGTTAATTCAGAAGTGGGTCCAGGTTCAAACCCCATCCTTTCCTAGATGGTCCACACTGGGCATCCCTGATTCCATGGGAGCTACCAAAGTCTTTATGGGAGGATAGGGTCACTGGGGGACGTGAGCTGCTTCTAAACTGCTGGGAAGACCAGGATGGACCACGCTGTGTTTTCTATGAACCATTGCTACTAACAATATATTTTCTCACTGCCTGTACCAGTGTCTGCCCATGGTGGTGTTTTGTTTTTTAAAATTCATTATAAATGGTCTGGGAGAAGCATCATGGTGGGAGTAGCCAGGAGGGCCAGGGTTCCAGCTCTGCCTCTGACATGTCCCATAACCCTGGACTTAACCTCTGAGTGCCCCGGCAGCTCTGAGTCTGGAGTGGTGCAGAGAGCCAACCATTGGATTGGGAGGCCCTGGGTTCGAAACTTGACTGTGTCACCTCCCTAGGCCTCAGTGTCTCAGCGGTAAGATGTGGGGGATTGGAGTAAGGACCCTTCTAGCCTTAAATCTTTGATCCTCAGAGGTGGATATGTCACCAGCGTGTATCCATGAAGAGTGGTTTCCACACTGGGGACTAACTCCCACCACCGTGATGAAATCAGTGCCATATGCCTCATACTTTGAGTGGTTTTAAAAAGCCATGAGAGGCCTGGGTGCCTTGGGCCATTTTCTAACTGTTAGGAGTTACAGAGCTGCTTGGGAGTGTGAGGGGTTCACAGGTGTAGACCCACAAATTGGTGGGCTCCTTTGTACTTAAGATGACTTCAGTGAATCTTGGATTTGATTTGAAAGGTTTAGGGGGAAAAAATTGTTATGGAGGGAGCAGCTAGGTGGTGCCTGGAGTCAGGACCTGAGTTCAAATCTGGCCTCAGATACTTAATAACTGTGACCCCAGGCAAGTCACTTTACCCTGTTTGCCTCAGTTTCCTCATCTGTAAAAGGAGCTGGAGAAGGAAACGGCAAACCACTCCAGGATGTTTGCCAAGAAAATATCAAATCCACCCTCAGACACTTAACCAGCCATGTGACCCTGGGCAAGTCGCTTAATCCTATTTGCCTCAGTTTCCTCATCTGTAAAATGAGCTGGAGAAGGAAATGCAAACCATTCCAGGATCTTTGCCGAGAAAACCCCAAATGGGGTCGTGAAGAGTCAGACAGAACTAGAAGAAATGGGAGGGGGTGCTGAGGCAATTAGGTGATGTCATGGACAGAGCACTGGGCCTGGAATCAGGAAGACCAGAGTTCAAATCCTTCCATAGACCCGATGACTGTGGGCAAGTCACCTTTGTCTGCCTCAGTTTCTTCTGCTGTAAAAGTAATAGCATCTACCTCTCAGGATGGTTGTGAGGATCACATGAGGTATTTGTAAAGTGCTTAGCACAGACCCTGGTACGTAATAGTTGGTGAGTTGTTTTCAGTTGTGTTTGACTTCGTGACCCCATTTGGGGTTTTCTTGGCCAAGACACTGGAGTGGTTTGCCATTTCGTTCTCCTTTCCTCATTTTAGAGATGAGGAAACTGAGGCAAACAGGGTGAAGTGACTTGCCTAGGGTCACCCAGCTAGTGAGTGTCTGGAGGCCAGATTTAAAATCAGGTCTTCCTGACATAGTAAGTAGGTTTTTATTAAGAGCTTTTTCCGTTCCTTATGAGATCATAACTACAGCAGGAAAGGACCTCGCAAGGCGCTGAGTCCAACGCCCTCAATTCAGGTAATGAAACAAGCCCAGAGGGGATGGGACTCTTCTGGTCTCACCTCATTTACAGATGAGGAAACTGAGGCCCACGGGGTAGCGAGTACCAGGTCTCCCCAGCCTCTTTGCCCACCGCGCACAGATCACTTTGTCACCGTTGACGTCCTTGGAAGGATGCGGAGTTCAGAGCACGGTGTACCATACCATAATGGCTTTTAGAGACATTCCCTGGAGAGGGAAGCAGTCATCCATAGCGGTATTAGAGGCTTTGGGAGGCTTAACGTGAGCTGAAGCTGAGATGTCCTAAAACCTCGTGGCTCCTGATGATGTTCGGCTGCCCTCCTGGGAGGGTCGCTTAAGTCCAACAGAGTCAGCAAACACAGCCACGTCCCAAGGGCTCCGCTTCCCCTCCCTTCCCACGGGCTGCATTATTATCACAGCAATTTTGGTGGAAGAGAGGAGGCGTGTGGAACTGTGTGTGAGGAGAGCCAGTGTGGGTTCAAAGCTAGATTTGGAGTCAAGGGACCTGAGTTCACATTCTGGTTCTGCTACCTAATGGCCGCGGGACACTGAACGAGGCATTTTTTTAAAAAGTTTCTTCGTTTAAAATTGAGAGGGTGAATTTGATCGTAGATTAATGGCTAGAGAAAACTCAGCAGAGGTCATATGATCCAACCCTCCCATTTTGCAGATGAACAAACAAGCCAAGAGAGGTTGGCCCGCCCCCAACTGCAAACCCAACATTCTTTCTATCACACTCTCCTGTTTGAGGTCAGCTCTAAATTAAGCACGCTGTTAACAGTGCCTGGGCCAGAGTGTTTCCGGGGCTGCCCCAGAGGCCCTGAAGGTCCCACCCACCTTTGGGGGGAGGTAGCCGCGAGCAGGAAAGTAAGCCACCAGAAAGGGGAAATGAGTCGGCTCTGTGCCCAGATGGGATTTCCGTGGTCCCAACAGGCCTGAATAATTGCAAACCGTGGAGTGATCTCAATGCTGTTTGCGTTGGTGTCCGGGCCAAGTCAAAAGGCATAAAGCCAATAGCTCTGCTGAAGGGCTGGTTCTGGAGCCAGAGGGCCTGGGTTCAAATCCCATCCCCAACACTGAGTAGCTGAAGGAACTCAGGTAAGTCTGGCCTTAGTTTCCTTCTTTGTAAAAGGAGGGATTGAATGGCCCCCTTCTGTTAAGGATCCTGTGACCCAAGTGGAAAAGGGGGCAGTTAATCCACACTCTCCTATTGCTGCCAATAGGCATTTTAAAGATGCCTCCTCCCATGGGTTAGCAGGTGCGGGATGCTGGGATGCAGGGACAAAAAAGTCCTCAAACACACAAACTGTCCCTGCCTTCAGGAATTGGATATGGCATATAAAGGTAAGTGTGTATATGTTTATTTAAGGAGACAGAGAGCTCAAGTAGGAATATGCTTCCTTTGGGAGGAGACAGCTCAGAAACCTAAGGATGTGGAGGCGGAGGTGAGGAGGGGGTTAGTGGTCAGAGGGACAGAGGGAGATGGGAGGCCAAGATGGGGTATCTCAAGGAGGCCAGGCTGGTGGCCGCATAAAGAGAGCATGAAGGGGAACAGTGTGGAATGAGCCTGGACCCTGGGGTTGGAGGCAGACTGTGATGGAGTCGGCAATAGGAGTCTCGGGGCGATGGAGAGCCACCGAGGATTTTTCAAGCAGGAGAGTAAACAGGTCAAGTTTTCACTTTAGGTAGAATTATTTTCTAGCTGTGTTGGGGGGGGTGATGGATGGATAGAAGACTATTATTTATTAGGAGGCTCAGACACTTGTGACCCTGGGCAAGTCACTTAACCCCAATTGCCTCTCAAAAAAAATTTTTTTTAAAGTTTTAAATTATTTATTAGGAGGCTATTGCAATAGTCCAGGTGGGAGGCCCAGCTAAGTGAAGGGAGAGGACACATTGTGGACATAGAGTCAGTAAGACACAGCAACAGATTGAATGTGAGAGGGGAAGATGAAGCTGGAACGGCCAAGGCTATGAGCCTACATACTGGGAAAGATATTGGTTATAACCAATGAGGGTTTAGAAAACGCTTCATTCTACGTGCCCTCGACAGAAAAAAGGGAAATTTGGGGAGGGGGCAAGGGAATCATTTCAGGATCATAGATTTAAAGCTCTAAGGGAACCCCTCGTTTTACAGATAAGGAAACTGAGGTAATACGTGGCAGGACTGGGAGCCCAGATGCTCTTACTCCAAATTGGGACCAGGGAGGTCAGAGTGATCCTCCCAGCATCCCCCGGCACCTGAGATGCCTACATGGTGTTGCTGGAGATCAGGAGAGAGGTCAGGGCTGCATCAGTAGCCGGGGCAGGGTGGTGGTGACGGGTGGTGGGTGATGTCATTCACCTGCATGGATTGCCAGCCTTTGTCACACACAGGAAGGACCTGAATTTGTTACACTATGGGTGATTAAAATTTCGTTCAATATGCACGATTACAAATCCAATTTAGCATAACCTTGGGGAGGGAGGGAGGGGAGAAGGGAAGGGAAGAAGCAGATTTGCAAAGCGCGTACTATGTGCCAGGCATGGTCCTAAGCTCTGTACAAATACCTCATTGGAGAGGTCATCGCTGCACTATTGATGACCTATGAGAACATTCCCACGTTACTCTTACTGTCGGGGCCCTTGAAGTTAACTGACATTTGCAGAGATTTAAAATATAGAAGTTATTTTATAAACATTTTCTCATTTGATCTTAATCATAATAATAACCAGCCTTTACATGATGCTTTAATGTTTGATCCTCCCAACAACCCTGGGAGATAGGTGCTATTATTATCCCCATTTTACAGATAGGGAACCTGAGACAAACAGAGGTTCAATGACTTGTTGAGGGTCTTCACACAGCTAGTTTGAGGCAGAATTCGAACTCTGGTCTTCCTAACTCCAGGCCCAGCGGTCTACCCACTAGGACATTCGGCTGCCTCTAACAAACCTGAGAGGTGATTACAGGAAGCATCGTCATTTTATACGTGGGGCAACCAAGGCTCTGAAATATTGTGACTCACCAGTGATTGTCAGAGGAGGGATCTGAACCCAGGTTTCTGACCAGCCCAGCTTCCTTTCTACCACACTACACTGCTGAATGAAAGGGTTGCATTAGGTAGGCTAGGGCAGCGCTGTTTCACCTTGCCTGCATCTTGGACCCTTTGGGCAGCAGGCTGGAGAAGCCTATGGACCCTGTCTCAGAATCATGGTTTTAAATGAATGAAATGTGATTACCAAAAAAAGTATATTGAAATGCAGCCATTAAAAATTAAAACAAAAAATAAATTCATGGGCCCTGGGCTACATGGTCCCAACAAAGTCTATGGTCCTATGGTTGATCTGAAAAAGGGAACACATAAAAAGGATAGATTTCAGTGCACCGTGGATTTGGAGCCATGAAATGTGGTTTGGAATGTTAGCTCAACTCATTATTTGGGTGGTTCTGGGCAAGCTGCTTTTCCCCTCTGGGTTCATTTCTTCCTCTTGGCGTTCTCGTGAGGAGAAGCATATTGGCATTCTCTGGGGTTGGCGAAATCCTCCGGGTGCTTCGGTCGGAGCACAAAGGTGAGTGCTGCCGGGATGCCACAGAGCCTCCTGGGAGAGGTCCTGGACCAGGCAGAGGAGTCTGAATTGACCATCCACACAGGGAAAGCCAAATGGATGAGAACATGGAGTGAGAAGGGCAACCGGGTGATACTGTCCATCAGAGTAGACAAGAAAACAGAGGCACGTTAAGATAGAAAGGCAGAAAACATATGAGAGATATAAAGATAGGGAAGTAGGTAGAGGGTAGAGATTTTAGATAGATAAGAGATCTAGAAATAGAAAGGTGATAGGAAATGGATTGATGAGACACAGGCAGAAAAGAGAGACAGAGAGAGAAAGAAGAGAGGGGAGACAGAAAGAGAGAGAGAGAGAGAGAGAGAGAGAGAGAGAGAGAGAGAGAGGAGAGAGGAGAGGCAGAAAGATCTACGTGTCTGGGACAAATAGTTCACGTGGATGAATTGGGCCCAGAATTGAACAACTGGAGAAGAGTAAACCAGATTTCCTTCAGGAAGCTGCAAAGCTACCTCACTGACACCAAATTCCCTGACGGAACCAACATTCTACATGACGGTGAGACCCGGAACACATCCACCTGTCTTCTTAGGTTCGGAGTGAGTATCCCGTAGGGTGCCGGGAGGGCCAGGGGTATTGGGAGCAGTCTAGAACATAGCGAGGAAATGTGAAACTGCAAAAGGAGGTGTGCTGGTCAGCTGGCAAGGGCTCACCCAAGAAGGACCCACTGGGATCCTCCCAGTGTCGGAACAGCAGTGGACCCTGTGCCAGGCATGTTCAGGAGTCACACAGGGTGGGCTGGCCCAGCGATTAGCATTGTTGGGGGTGAGGTCCGTTGGAGGACGAACACACAGGCATGCACGTACATGTTTGTGTTTGCTGTGTCCAGACCTAACCCTAACCCATTACAGGTAAGTGACTTGCCCAGGTGTGTGACACAGCCCTGTGTCAGAGACAGCCCACCTGCTCTCCCGCGCGCACACACACACACACCCTCTCTAACAAACGAGCTATTTGTAAAGCACTTAGCAGTGCCCGGCACACAGCAGGCACTTAACAAATGCTCATTCCCTGACCTACAGACGTACACGTGCAGGAATGGTCCACAGGTAGGACAACAGCGCTCTGCTCACACCGCACTTTCCTCCCCACCAGCCTGCCAGGAAGCACTGCCGGCGTTATCCCGGGGCAGAAGGGGAGCTGAGGCCTGGCCCCAGCCTAGTGCTGCTTCCATCTACTGGACACTGTCGGAGGTCTCTCCCAGCTTTAAGTCCTGGGGGATGGGTGGGGGAAGGGGGCAGCAGAGGCTTGATCAGCAGCTGGAGTGGGAGCGTTTGCCTCTTTCCTGATGACCGAGGGCCTGGTCCATGGTGACTGATCTCATTCAGGGCAGATTCTTGGGCGATTAATGTTACAGGAGAGAGGAACCTGAACTGGGTGGTCCCAGGCGGCTGGAGCTGGGAGGGCCATTAAGTCCAACCCTCTCGTTTTTTACAGAAATGGAGGCAGAAGGTGACTTGTCCAAGGTCACAAGGCAGTTAACAGCAGAGGCAGGATTTGAACCCCGGTCCTTTGACTTCACGTGCAGCACCCTGCACCAACCACATAGCCATATACGTTTCAAGCCATGGCCCACACAGTGGAGCACCCCTTGGGGGTGGGGCCAAGACCCCGGAAATTCTCCATTCTCTCATGTATAAAACAGGAATATTCACCTTCACACTACCAACCAAGAGCTACTGTGAGAAGTTTTGCAGACCTGAAGAGCGTCCTAGAAATGGGAAGGCTGCATTAATATATAAAGCCTTCTCTCTACTCATGCAAAATATTACCCTCATCATCTTTTTGCCCAAACTTTTGATTTGATTCGTGTAGGAAATGCCCAGGGTGGAAATTTCCTCCGCCAATACAGGCTGGCCCCTTATCTTTAATGTGTTCTGAGTGACGCAGGGCCCTGGGACTTCCCCTAGCTAAGGTTACATGGCCAGTACAGGTCAGACCCTGCTGGGTTGTCCTAACTTCAAGGCTGGCTCTCTGCTGCGTTGCTTCACTCTTATTATCATCACTATTATTTGGCTTTTTAAAGACTGATTGTCTTGGAAAAGCAAGTTGAAGTTCATGAATAATCCGTTTTTTGTATGGAGCTCAGAACTGGGTCACTCCAAACGAAGAAGGGAGCAGGTCCCTACGGGTCAGAACAGCAATGATGACAGGAAGAAGGCAGGTAGGCTAACTTGTAATGAAACTCTTTTATATAAATTATTAAAACCGTCCAGTTTAAAGCAGGTTTACTGCACCCGGGTCACTTAATTTTCCTGAAGGACAGATACAGGCCTTCTACACTCATAAATTACATCAAAGAATTCAGGAGAGCTGAGAAAACAAAGCTGCAGGTACAATGAAACCCAGTAAGTGTTTAAAAAAATAAAGACAAATTTTGATCGAACAAAATGATTGCGAAATGGAAACACAATGTTTGAACAGTCAAAATCGTAGAAAGAGACGCAACTGAGGGCACTGTGGGGGGTGGTGAGCAGGCGTCCCACACTGGTCTTGCCAGGCACAAGACTGGAGAACTTTCCCTCCCGGGCGTGTGCATGCTCCCGGACAGAACGCTGCCCACACAAGTGACGTCACTCCATGTGTGCTTAGGAGGGTGGATCTCAAACTCACAAAACCAAGAGCTTTGGGGGTGGTGTGTGACCTTATTAGCTTGTCTATTCTCTTCCACATCTTCCCTTGTTTTAAAATTTCAATTCAGCACACTTAAAAAAAAACAAACAAAAAAACCACCCACCAAACCAAAACCCCAACCCCCCAAACAAAAACCAGCAGCAAAGGATTGTTTGGGATTCCCTGTCAAATACCAAATGACATCCATTGTGTTGGAGGGTGTTTCTTTACTCATGTAAGAATATATAGATATAGATATAGATATATATTTTTTAACTGTACACAATTTATAGGGTGTGACAAAGTTTCCAAAAGACTAGATCAACAAGGTATTGGCCATTTCTGCACACAATTTAGTTTTTCGGTTTTTTTTTTTTTTTTATACAAAGACATCGCAAGATGTAAGAGGTTGAATTTGATTTCAATGCTACAGTTAATACAAAAGTCAACAAGAAACAAAGGAAGTAACAATTGCTGCCCCCCCATAACATTATTTGACACGGAACCGTTTGGAGGGGGGGATGGGGGAGGAGGGGACTGCCACCAGGAAGCAGAGATTGGCTGGAGAGGCTGTAGGAATCACCAGATGCCCCTAAGAGGCCAAGCTTCCCCAACCCTGTGCATGCTCAATGGACTGAGGTCAATCTCTCATCATTTTCCAAAGGGTATTTCTATATACTGTACATTTCAAGATGGTCATGGAAAGCATCACTTCAGCACACGCATGGACACAGACACACGCCCACCCATAGCCACACCCACCCCTCCCCCTCCAAAAGCTCGACTCAAAAGGCTGCATTTTGGCCCCCCAACCCCCCAAGAGACTGGAGACTGTAGCCAAATCGCAGTCATGCTTTGACCATTCAGTCTTCATCCTTCCTTTGTTGATGGTGGCCCAGGAGACGACCACTGGCATTTCCCACAAAAACTTCTCTCTTCCAGGGTCCTAGTTGTCAAAGATCTAGCATTTCTACTAAGTCTTTCTGGAGGAGGGGTATGACCCTTTTCAACTTTCTTCCAACGTTTAACTAGGAGAATCAATTACTCTAAGCCAAATCACAGATTTCTGAAAGCCTCAAAGGTCTCTTGAAGCCAGGAGGACCAAAAAAGCAAGTGGTTTTTGCATAGGAAGATTTTTTTTTCAACCTTTCCAAGAAATTAAAAAAAAAAGTCAAATTTCATCGGAGAAAAAGATGCAGTTATTACTCTGCTCGTAGTCTGAGGGTCAAGGAAGAAGCCAACCTCCCACACCCCGTGGTGCCCGGGCAGGGAAAGGGGCATTCTTAGAGCCCTGCCTCCTCCCAGGGGGCAGGGGTTGCCCTTCCCCTGCCCTGGGGGGGTCCCTCCGCCTCAGATCACACAGGAAGCTCCAGGGACTCCGGCCCAACCTGATAGCCTTGGACACTGCCCAGGGCTCTCCCCATTTCCTCCCTGCCCTGCTGACACTAGGAAAGGCCCTCAAGCACTAGGTCTTCATTTTCAAGCACCTATTTGGTTGTTTTTAATTCATGAGCTGATTGTAGTATGTGACTGAAGAAATCAGTGACAGTGGTACATTACGCACATCGTGTCTCTGGCTTTCCAACAGCGATTCCCGTCATGTCATTCTCAAACACATGGATGAGAAGCTGGGCTAGTCGGGAGTGGGCTTGGAGATGGTCCACACGCCTCTCTCTCCCCTGGACAGGGGTTTCCTCCGCCTCTCTATCCCTGTTTCAGATTTCAGAGGTGGGCATGGGGCAGAGGCCAGAGGCTGGGGTAGCCTGAGCTGCTGGCTTTCCCTCTTGCGCCCGTCCGGCTGGCACCGATGCCGGGGACGTACCTGCACGTCCAGGGTGGAGGCTCCTTGGCCCCCGCCCCCTGGGAAGCTCCAGGGGGAAGAGAGACGAGTTCAAGGCCAACAGGCTTCAAGGCCAGACCCCCGCTCTCCCTCCCTGGGGAGGGCTGTCCGGCTGCTCTGGGCTGGAGGCTTGTATTTCTGAGTTGCTATTGCTGCTTCTAAAAACAACCCCCAGAAGTTTCTGGAGATGGAAAGGAAGAAAAGGAGGGTTTCTCTGGCTGCTGCCGTATGCTTAATAATGAACATGTATAAAAAGTGGTCAAACCTAGGGGAGGGCTTGCTTCCGCTTTATGTACAATAATTTAATCAGCTGGATATAGTTAATACCTAAAAAAATTAATTCAAGATCAAAGTCCTTCATGCATTTTAGGAGGAAGTTCTGGTGCCCAGCAACGGCGGTGTCAGCGGTGGCTGGGCGATGCTTCAGCCGGGGTCTTTCCAAGCGGTCTGGGCCTCGCCACTTACACTTTGAACTTCTTCACCGTCTCCAGCCTCTTCTTGAGCAGTTCCCCGATTTCCTGAAGTGAGTGCTGGTAGCTGCTCTGCACCTTGCCGTGCACGGTCTTGGTGAACTTCTTCTCCTCCTGTGGACAGAGGGACGAGATGATGATGGCCGAGGCCTGCGGGGCCTGCCCGGGCCGCCCCCCCCCCCGACAAGGGGCTGGGAGGCCAGCAGCCCAGCAGGAAGTGTAAGGACCCCAGCTGACCCCCTCCCCCTTCTCTGCAGAGGTGGGCGGGCCGTGTGTGTGTGTGCGCGCGTGTGTGTGTATGCACACGTGTACAGGTACAGGTGTGACCTTAGGAAAGTCCCTGCCCTGGAAGGAGAGAGAGAGTGTGTGTGTATGTGTGTGTATATGTGTGACCTTGGGGAGGCCCCTGTCCTGGCCCTGAGGAGCCCTGGCAGCTCCAGAACCACGCCAGGTCATCTTTTTTGTCCTTTTTATAAAAAAGGATGGACGGTACACGGAGGGAAACAGACTGATGACACCCTGTACAAGAATCAGGCCTCGCCTGTCCCCTCCCCGACACTGTGGGGGGCTCCTTCCCAGTTAAAATCGGGGCAGTCGTAGGCAGTGCCCCCCCCCCCCACAGTGACCAAGTCCACCAGCCTAGATGAGACCGACGCCTGCCCGATGTAAACAATGGCTGCCCATCTCCACCGAGGCCAAGAAGCACAAGCCCCACGCTTCCACTGTAAGGTCTGGGAAGGCAGGCAGGAAGGAGAGGAAGGGAGGGAGGGAGGGAGGGAGGAGAGGAGGAAGAGGAGGGGGGAGGGAGGGAGGGAGGAGAGGAGGAGGAAGAGGAGGGAGAGAGGGAGGGGAGGGAAGGAGGGAGGGAGAGAAAGAAGGTACTGGATCTGATAAACTATCTCCCTCCCAGGTCTTCTCTTCTGTGCTAGCTGAGACTCAGCAGAGGAAAAGAAATCAGAGAGGCTCTAAAAGCACTGACTTTGGTGCAGACACGCTTCCTCTGCACCCTGGTGATCCCTCGGTCTCATCTGGCTTACTAAGGCAGCTCCAGGCCCCTGGACCTTTCCCTCCGGCCCGCACAACTGACCCCTCCCTCGTGGGCTGGAGTTGGGAGATCCTCGAGAGCAAAAATGGTGGCCCCCCTTCCATGGGTAGCCCTAGGGCTTGGCACACAGTAAGTATTTAAAAAGGCTTATTTGTGCTTTCATTTTTTCCGCAGGAGGCTAGGAGGCCAGGAGGCCATGCCCATGTCTTTTAAGCACGGAAAAGGCTAAGTGTTGGCACAGAACCAGGCCAGGCGTCAGAAAGACCCAGTTTAGATCCATCTTTGGTCACTTTCTAGCTGTATGACCCTGGGCAAGTCACTTTACCCATCTGTCTCAGTTTCATCATCTGTATAATGAAGGTGATGCTGGCAGCTCCCTGCCAGGGTTGGTGTGAGGACCAAGCACTTTGCAAATGTCAAGGAGCTACCTGCGTGGCAGCAATCATCATCATTACCATCATCACTGTTTTAATTAAGGCATCGAGTTGGTGCTAGGCTAGATTCACATGCAAAGTCAGTGTTAAGATTTTGAGCTCGGGGTCCAAGGACCCCCCCCCCCACGATTTCAAGGGGTCTATACACTTGTTACTTTGTTTTAATATTCTGACAACTGTATATCAATATTATCAGTTCCCTTCATTTAAAAACAAACACTAACTCCCCCCCCCAAGTAACAAGAGTGCTGTCCCACCTGCAAGTGCCTTTGAGAAACCTGAGCTGGGGGCCCCAAGACAGACCCTGGTCCCCGCCTCATTGTGCAGATGAACGAGCAGCCCTATAACTAAGACCACCCAGCTGAAGGACCCCTCCTCTCCCTGGGGCATGGAGCGGGGTGGCGCCCCGGAATGGGGGCCCACACAGCCTCCAGGGGCACCCCCCTCTCACCTGGGAAAGGGCAGGGTCTTCTAGGGACAATTCTTCAAGTTTAAGTGCGGCCAGAAGAGCCTCGAGCCCTCTGAGGTGCTCCAGGACACTGGAGATGAGCAGCTGGAGGCCGGCCATGTAGTGCTGGAAGCTGGAGAAGACAGGCGGCTGGAGGAACATGAGAGGAGAGTGAGACGGGGACCGGGCTAGGGCAGGCAGGGCTTCTCAGGAGCCCCGAGACCCCCACGCGCACTGCAGGCCGCCATGACCCGGACAGTCATGGGGGAGCAGAGCCCGGGTGCTCCTGCTTCCTCCCCTCCACCCGCCAGCTTGCCTCTCCAGGAAAACTCCCGAGAGTGCCTTGGAGGCCAGAGCCCTCCGAGGGGGGGGGGGACGCCGCCCCTCACCAGGTACAACCTTCCAGCTAGACTGGCTCTCTCCTCATTCTGCAGCCGCTGTCTCTGGGCCCCCGACCCCTTCTGCTGTAAGGCCTCTCTGACCCTTCTCTCTCCAGCTTCAGATAATCCCACTCATCTTTATCCCCCCGAGAAGGGGTGCTCCTCAATGGGGGTGGGTGGGCTGGTCTTCATTTTGCCTCTGTAGCCCCAGGGCCTAGTGAGGGTCATGCCCACAGCACAGGCCCTTGTTGGACTGGATGGGGCAGGCTCAGAAAAGACCAAAGGGTCACTCTTCTCAGGACCCCCAAGAGTCTCAGAGGCAGTGAGGCCCCTGGAACGAGAGGCACTGGACCAGCCAAGTCAGACCACTACCACCACCGTGACCACCTCTCCCCTCGGACCCGGATGGTCCAGAGAGCCAGGAACTTGAATTCAGGCTCCTGCCTCGGCAGCACCAGCACCAGATGCTAAGCAACCGTGATCAACAGGGTGAGGAAGCCTGGGGCTGGCAGCACCCCACAGACCCCTGGGCTGAGTCCCTGCAGTCTCCTTGGGCAGGCCAGCCATCCCCACCACCTGCCATCTCACCGCCACTCCCAGACAGGCAGCGAAGCTCAGAGAGCCAGGCTCTGCCGGGGAGAGACAGGAGGCAGTAGCAGGTGCCAGGCCTCCCCCAGACCCTCCTGGCACAGCCCACTGCCCAGTGTCCCCAGCCATTGTCCAGGGATGCAGCCTGCACACTGCTCCTGCAGGCCCAGAAATGACGGGGTTTGTCACCGCAGTCCTTGGCTGTCCAGTGATCCAGTGGAGATGACATCACCACCACTTTACCAGTGCAGCCCGAGGACCAGGGGACCTCTCCATGGGATGTGCAGCTCCAAGCCTCCCGGGGTCATCTCCCCCATCCCAACAGGCACCTGTGTCTTCTCTAGGCACCTCGAGTGCTCTGCATCCATCCATCTGAGGAAGGCAGACCCATACAGGCATCGGCCCCATTTTACAGATGAGGAAACGCACGCTCCAGAGACGCTGGTTAAGTGCTGGCTCATGGATGTCCATGGTGGGTTTGGACCCAGAGCTCTCCTGACTCCCCTGCCCTGCCTGGGCCTCTGCGGTACTCAGGCTGTCAGCATCTCAGAAAGGGAAGGGGCCTTGGGGATTACTTAGCCCACTTGGCCTGAGCCAGAATTCCTTCTCCAATGCAGCAGAAGAGTGGTCCTCCAGCCTTTTCTGAAAGTCCAATGGCACATTCGCCCCAGGCCACGTGCAGCCCAGGCTCCCCTAAGAGCTGAATGTGCCTTCAGCACCCACCAGCCATGGCCTTTGTCCTGCCTCCTGGGGCCTGACCGCTCTCCCACACAGCCTGTTCGCTGTCCTAGCGTCCTCCAGATGCTCTTCTCCTTCCTAAAATGTGGTGCCTAGAACCGAGCTCAGCACTCAGAGCAAAGCAGCCTGGGCCCGTGCCAGGGACGCTCCTCTCAGCTGCCATGTTATTCACTCCTGAGCTTGTAGACCACTATGGCTCCCAGATCTTTTTTTTCAGAATAACTGCAAACGAATCATGTCTCTCCCATCTTATCCACCTGAAGTTATTTGTTAAACTAAAGAGTTGCTGTTGTGTGTCCTTTGTTCTGGAAGAGGACCGTGACATCAGGAAGGTGATGCCATGACTTGCAAGTGAAGTGGATTTCAGTGAGGGAGGGCTGTGCAAAGTCACCAGCCTCACTGTCTCCTCCGGAGCCATCTGGGTCCAGTGGCCAGATACGGAGCAGGACGACTGGAGACGGCCCCCCAAGCCGGAGCACGTTTGTCTTGGTGGCGCTTCCTATCTTGTATGACTGTCAAAATGACCATGTCTCTCCCAACTTTGTGTCACCCAGAAGCACCAACGGCAGATCACCCAAGGCTTTCCCCAAGCCACCAATTAAAATGCTCTGCAGCCAGAGGTAGAGCGCAGAGCCCTTGGCCCTCACCCACAGACTCTGTCCATGCTGGCGCCCATTCCACAATGGCGCCTTCACTGACTCCACCTCCACCTCACTGTCCTATCACTTAGCCCACATGCCCTCCTGTACCAGGCCGTCGATGCAACAAAATTTTATCAGGCCTGGACTTTGTGCAAGGCACTGGGGACAGAGAAACATGAAAGAGCCTGCAGGGGGCTTCCATTTGGTAAAGGAAATCTGACAGGGGAGTACAGAAAAATACAAAAATATCTGAAAATATCTCAAATAAATAGTGAGGGTGGGGAAATTAAGAAAGGTCTTCCACAAGAAGTAGCCCCTGAGCTGACCCTCGAGAAGAACTAGGGATCCCAAGAGAAAGAAGGTTCTGGGTGTGAGAGACAATCTGGGCAAAGGGGTGGAGGTGGGAGATGGGATGTCACATACAAGATACCCCTTGGGGCTGGAGTGTGTGGGGCTAGGGAGGTGAGAACAGCCTAGAAGGAGAAAGAGACTGATGAGAGGCGGTGAAGGCCAAGGAGGGCCCGTCTCCTGAGCAGAGGCCCTGGTGGGGATGGCGGGGAAAGGGGAGACACTGGAGGTAAGGAGAACAACTAGAAGGCAGCTCTCCTGGCCCAGCGGATGGAAGGCAAGGGTTTAACCAGGGGAGGCCAAAGACACCAAGAAGGCAGAGCTGGGGAAACCTGGCAGCTGGCTGGTCCTGGCAGGGCAGGGCCTAGGAAGCCCCTGGGCTTGGAAGCTAGGGGGACAGGAAACATGGTGGTGCCCTCAACAGAGAGATAGGAGCTGGGGCAGAGCCGTCTCTTCCAAACGTCCAGCTCTATGACTTTCCCAGGGAGTTAGTGCCTTGTGCCACGGGCTGCATTTAATCCTGAGTCACAGAGGCTACCCGAGAGCTCCTCTGTGGGGGGAATGTGAGGGGATCTTAACTGATCCTCATCTAGTGTTATTACCATGAGGGTGTTGGTTTCTTTTTTCTTCTTTTTCCTTTTCTGTAAATTTAATTTATATGGCTGCAGGACGCTGTCACAGTAACTAGTCACCCAGAGGACAATGGAAATGGTCTGAAAGAAAAGAAAGAAAACGTGAATTAATCAAGATATCTAACGGGGGGCAAGGGGGGAGGGTAATCTTAGGCTGACATGATCCAGAGCCAGAAAGGGGCTCGGGGATCCTCCACTGCCACCCTCGTTTCATGGAAGAGGACCCGAGGGAGCATGCAGCACGTGGCACTTGTCAAAGCTGTTTAGACATTGTCTACCCCCTTAGACTATGAGCTCCTTGAGGACAGGGACTGTTTTTGCCTTTCTTTGTATTTCCAGCGCTTAGCCTGGTGGCTGGCACAACAGGAGATACTTAATAAACGCTAGCTGATTTGACTAGTTTATAGCATTGCTGGGATGTGAATTCAAGTCCTCAGATGCAAAACGGAACCTTTTGATAGACATCCCAGAATCCCCAAGCTCTAACTCGCTTTGCTCTCTTTCCTCCCAGGGTCAAGTACAAAGCCTGAGGGGCAGGTAAGAGGCCAGCAGCAGCAGTAGGAAGGGCTTGTTTATGTGGCCCTGTAAGGTCGGCTGAGCACTTCACTATCATTCTCTCTCTGGACACTCACAATGATCCTAGGAGGGCGGTGCTGTTATGACTCCCATTTTACAGACGAGGAAGCAGAGGCCGGCAGAGGGCTAAGGGACATGCCAGGGGCCCCCGGCTAGCAGGGATCTGGGTCGCATCGCTGCCGTACTGGACGCACCTGGCCTCACGGAGGCTGCGCCTTTTGGTCCAGGTGGGCGCCCTGTAGAGGGGCCCACGGCCTGGCGCCTCCCCCGAGGAGTTGTTTTAGCAATGTTTGTTGGGCTAAAGGGGAAACCAAAGCTCCCCATGAAGCACAAGTGGGAGCCCGTGGAGCGCTCACCTCCACAAAGAAGACCAGGTTTTCTAAGATGCTGGGATGAGTCTTCAGGTTCCCGTCTTCTACTTCTAAGATGTCCCCTTTGCAATGACTGAAGGCTTCTGCAAGAAAAGGAGGCAACGCTTGGTTCGTCTCTCCTCGTGCCGCCGGCTGAGATAGCGGGTTGGTGGCATCCGTCATCCATCGGACGTTGAGGGGCAGCCAGTGCCCAGGGGAGCCCTAGGAGAGCGGGAGCAGAGGCCTTTTCCCAGCCAGGTGACCGCGTCCTGAGCACCTCCTCTTTCTTCACCACCTCCCTACCTCCACAAGGGCAGCCCCAGAGCTTTCCAGGCCCTGCACATGCCCAGACCATGGACAAGGTGAAATCACAGAGGCCTCAGCTGAGGAAGAATGGGCACCACTCCTGAAGGAAGGCCAAAGGTGCCTTTTCTACTCAGGGTCCGGCTTGAGACTGGGAATCCCTATCACCTCGGATAACCACTTTCCATTGTCCAACCCTCCCCCTTTGGGCAGTAACACAGAAGGGCTGAGGGCCCCTCCACGCAGAGCGTCCCCACCACACCGCACCCGACCCACAGAGCGAGGCACGGCTGGGAGAAGCACCGCTCCGATCTCCAGGCACCCCGAAAGAAGGCCATGCAGGACAAGTGTGTGGGTGTCCACAAGAAGAAGCCACCGGTGTCCAGACACTTACCCCTTAATTGTTCTAGTAAAGATTCAAAACTATTTCCTATTCTCTCCTGGATCTCAGCTGTATCCTCTGAAATGGAAAGAAAAAATTCCAGCTTAGCAGTCACATTCTACGGTGAAAGACACACAAACCTCAGGCAGCCATTGAAGAACTTTCCTGACTCTCAGCTCTGTAGGCCTCAGTGCCCTTGTGGGCCTCAAACTTCGAACCTCTGGCCCCCAGAGTCACCGTTCAAAATCAAAAAAACCTCATTCCTTCTTGGCCAAAACAATCGCCCCAAAAGAAGAGGAAATTAAAATCCACTTCTTTCAAATGGCTAAAAAGGCAAATGGAATTAAGCACAAGCTTGGGGTTAACAATTCCTCCAAGACATTCCTAATTCTGAGCTGGTGAGAACTGTGACTCTACTGGTTAGAAACTCAGAAGATCTGTGCCCTCGACCACAAACGTTCAGCTCTCCAACCACGGCTCTCCAATACAGGCACAACAAGCTGATTCCTTCCATTTCTAAATCTCCAATTAACTGGTAAATTAACATGGTGATGGGCCACTGTGAATGTGATTTTTCTGGTAACAGACCTAAATGATCATTATTACCCATCTGCCTTAAACAAATGTGTACCAGGCACCCCTGATGAAGCAGCAGGAGGGCTCCAGGACCTCAGGCTCTTTAAGGCCTCCCCAGCCCCGCATTATCTGGCTGGCCCTTCCACAGTACAGATAGAGGCCGGTGACACAGCCTGCCTGGCCGCCGTCTGAGCTACAATCAGGCCAGGCAGTTAGGGATGAAGGGCTCCAGCCAGACCAATCCCTGCCAGCTGTCTACTAAAGAGGAGAATTATCCAGGCAGGCAAAGCTCACACGCGGGGGGAAATCGGAGGTCCTCCAAGTAGTCAAATATATCCTGTCAGTTGAAATAAAATGTCATTTTTGTCTAAGTTTAGAATTTCTGCTGTCCAGAGGGCTTTCTCCCATCATGCTGAATTTATTTTCTGGGAAAACAAAATCAATCCATCTCTGAAAAAACAGCAAAATTTATGTGGTCAAACCCCCACACGCGCATACATGTGCACACACTCACACGCACACGCATGCATCTTACCTAGGCCATTGGTATCTAGTTCATAAATATCACTAACAAGATAAAAGGAGCTAGTCTGGCACTGACAGCAGCCACTGCTGAAGAAGCCGGCCATCCGGGTGGGAACAGGACCAAGGAAAGGATACTGGGGAGGGAAAGGGAAAAAGGCCTCGTTACTTTGCACGCGCTGTCAGAGAGGACCCGACCTCTGGGGCTACCTGGATGCAATCGGCAAAGTGTCCCCTAGAGGCAGGAGGGTGCAGGGGCCTTCCCCACAGTGGCACCGACCCCAGAGAGCACACGCCCCCCTTGAGGCTCTACAGAGACTTGGACTGGTCGTCTCTTCAGAGCGCGGAGGGGCTCGTTTGCAGAGGGGCCTAATCTACTAAGTATCGGGGAGGAGGGATTCGACCTGGCCTTGTGGGTGGCTCAATGAAGGCATCTTATATGAATTTAACGCACGGGATAAGAGACCTCAGAGGTCATTTGGTCTGACCCCCTCAGAGGACAAAACTGAGGCCTGGGAGGATAAGAGAACTTGCTCAAGGTCACACAGGCAGTAACGGTAAGCATTAGAATCAGGATTTGAACACAGGTCCTTGGACACCAGAGCCAGTCAGTACATTTTCCACTGCACCGTAAGGTTTAAGCAGACCCAGGACACTTAGTGGAGATTTGTGAACAAGGTTAACAGGCGAGCACAGAGGCTTTTCAAGAAAGACAAGAAAGGGCAGCGAGGTGGCGCAGTGGATAGAGCTCTGGCCTTGGAGTCAGGAGGACCTGAGTTCAAATCTGGCCTCAGACCAAACACTTGACACTTACTAGCTGGGTGACCCTGGGCAAGTCACTTGATCCCAATTGCCTCACCAAAAAGGAAAAAAAGAAAAAGGAAAAAAAAAAAGGCAAGAGAGGGGGCGCTGAAGACAACAGCAGGCCAAAGTCTGAGCACCCACGTACACAAGGAAGCACTCACCATAAAGAGCCACAGTGTATGTCTAAATCACAAACAGGCCAGGCCAGGCTACTTTATTTAATTTTCTGAGAAGTTTAATAAACTTGTGGGTCAAAGGAATGCTGAAGTTTTTAGTTTCCTAAGCACTGGCCCAAAACAGCTCATGTTTTTCTTTAAGCAAAGATGTAGAAATACAGGTTCAACAACAGGAGAATGAGACCGGTGGGGAGCTGAATAAATGGCCAGACCCAAAGAGTACATCGAACTGGTTCCATGACACCTCAGAAAGAATTCTCTGAGGAGTGGCCTAGGGTTCCAGGGTCTAGCACGACATTGTTTAACGATTTCCTCAATGATATGAATTCAGTCACAAATGGCATGCTTATCAAATTTGCATGACCCACAGACAGGAAGGACAGCTAACAAGTTACACTGGACTCAAAAATATCCTGACCCAGACCAAATCAATCAAGATGAAATAGAATTTGAAATAAACGTAAAATCGTACGCTTTGGTTCAAAACAATCAGCTTCGCTAGTATAAGACTGGAGTGTGTCTGGACAGCAATACACGAGAAAAAGACTTGAGAGGCTTAGGGGACGGCAGGCATAATGAGTCAGCAGGGGTTGGCAGCCAAAAAAAGGACGTTGTGCTGGGCTGTGGCCGGGAAGGAGGTGCGCGTCCCACTGGGGGACGGTGGGAGGAAGGCCAAATCTGGAGGACGGTGGTCTCCTCTGGGCGCCCAGCTTGAGAAAGGGCCCAGAGAGGCTGGGCCTTACCCTTAGCCTAGTGAAGGCTGGCGGCACACCCAAGAGTGTCACCAGGGATTCAAAGGTGGAGGTCCAGCACAGACAGATGAGATGATTTCTGAACCCCCGCAGAAAAGACAACAAAGCAGCAAGGGAGAGGAAGAGGGAAGCTGAGAGCTGAGGTCAGGAGAAGCGCTACTCAAAAGCAGATCGTGCTGCGTCCTCGTTGGACATCTGCAGGCTGAAGCAGGGCGGCCCTTGTGGTTCTGGGTTGGGTGTGTGCGTGTGTGTGCACGCATGCATACACAAGTATGAATTTCTTGCTGCTGACGGACTCTGCTCATGATGCTGAAAGTGGCACGGTCTCCGCTAACACTTATAACTTTGCCGGTCACAGGCTCTGAGCTGGCCAGGAGCAAGGCGGTCACTTAGTCCGACGCCCCCATTTTACAGAAGCCCAGATCTAGCAGGTGGGGAGGCTTGCTCCAGGGTCATGCTGTACAAGTGGCAGAGCCCGGATTCACCCGGGTCTCACGACGCCCCGCCCTCGGCTCCCGTGGCACCCTGCCCTCGGCCCGAGGGCTCAGAAACCTCCCTCGTTCCCACAAAGGCAGTCAACCAGCAACGTCCCCGGCCCCGGGCCCAGCTCTGCTTTTCAGACCGTACCTGAACCTTCCGTCCAACAAATCGCTTTCCCACATCCAGAACTCCTTCCAATTGCTGGAGAAGTGAACGGATAATATCAATCCTCGAGGAGATGCCATTCTCTGCTGTCTTGTCTGAGTTTTTCGGCTCCATGGGGTGGCTGAGAGTTGGAAGCCCGCTGACCAATCTCAGGGTCAAGGAACGGATGCGCAGCCAAAGGGTCTCCTCCTCCAGAGAGAGCTTCTTATGTTCTTCAGAAACATCCCTGAAGACAGAAGCCCCAGCAGTGGGTGAGCAAACAGAAGAAGCTCCTGGCGGCCTTTCCAGCGGCCACTACCTGCCCGTGGCTCTCCCACCACCTCAGACCACAGGCCGGCCCACACTTCAGTGAGTTAGGAAGAGAAAACACAAGGAGGCGGGCCTGATTCTGAATTCAATGTGAGTCACCTCTCCTTGGGATCCCACGTGAAGAAAACATGGAGGTCTCTGTTGTCACGCAGATCCTTCCACGGGATGTCGTCCTCCTCAGGACTCAGACTCATGGACTTGATGCTTTCTTCTAAGCTGGTCGATCTGTGACGGGGACATAAACGCAGAGGCTGTAGGGACGTGGGAGGAAGAAGAGAGAACTAACCAGAACGTTAAATTACACACTTGCAAACGTCTTACAAGTGGGGATCCCAGGGTCCAGCGTCAGAGCTGGAAGGCTCTGCAGGGATGATCGTTTTAGAGAGAAGTAACAGGAGGACGTGAAAGGTGAAGTAACTCACTCATGGTCCCAAGGGGACCGAGTGACAAAGCTGGGATTCGAATCTGGGTCTTCTGACTGCCAATCCAACTGTCTTTGCACTAACGCCTACTGATCCTGGGCTTAACACCTACGCTCATCGTAAGGTTTCACTTATGCTGGGATAAAAAACGGCCTGCGGAAGGAGCTGACGCTCCACGCGACATCAGGCCTCTCGGAGGCGGCCCAAAGGAGGGGAGTGCGGCGGGCGGCTCATGCGGGGCTTCCCTTCGGAGTTGCTGATGCCACAGAAGGTCCAGCAGGGTCTGGGCTGGGCCAAACACTAAAGACCATCGCAATCCACAGACTATCCCCACAACACAGACAGAACAGCCCTGAGACACGCAGGCCGCAGGGGCCGGTCTGTGACCGCACTGCCCGCCCCCGCCTCCGCCCCATCGCGGCCCCCAGACTCACATGTTGGCTTCAAGCAGCAGGTCCAGCAACATCCGTTCTGTGCGCACTTGGGCAAAGTGCAGAGAGTTGTTCAGCCTGTTCCTAAAAGCGATGAACTCTGGGATCTTCTCAAACGCACCATATTTGTAGGCTTGAATAATATATTCTGAGGTCTGGGAAGAAAAAAACATCACCTCGGCATGAAGATCTTCAACAGATCAGACGTCTGTGGCAAACCTTGCCAGCAAAGCAACCCAACCAAAAAACCCAAAACACAACCCAACAGCACATGGAAGGCCACAATCACTGAGGAGAACGTCAGCAGCCTCTCTCCTCTCCCTCCCCACCCTCTCCCAAGCCTTCCCTCCTTTCTCTGTGCATCCCCTTTGCCAAGAACAGCCTAGACACGGCCGCCATCCGCGGCAGTGAGGAAGCCGCCCCTTGACTGACTTAGAGGTCAGACCAGGCCGTCAGGGCAGCCACCCTCGACCCAAGCCGCTCCAGGAGAGACCCCACTCGATCTTCTTAATAGGACAGGGACAGCCTGTTTCTAGTGAGGTTTCAAAAATACAGCCACTGCCTACCCTGGTCCTCCCAAACCTAAAAAAAAGGCCCAAAGACATGCTGGCTCCTTCTTCTCATTTTATTATTATTTGAATACAGTATCACATAACACCAAGATTTAAGTGAGTCGCCGAACAATGTCAACCACAAAGGCTCACACCACCATCAGTCTATTTGGAGAACACAAAGGATTAAAACCCCAAATATCTGAAGCACTAAGTGACACCATGCAGAGAACACAACCTGTATGTGACCTGAAGTCAATGCACACAGACCTAGGAGATGCAGCCCAAGAGAGCAGAGAAGGATGGACATTCTGGTGTATCAGCCAGAGAAAAATCATGGAGAACGGAACTTTGAGGGAGGGAGGGAGGCCCCGTCATCAGGACCCAAGAACGCACCAGCCTCCAAAAAAGGCCGACGTCTGCCAAAAAACAAACACGCTGCCATGAGAACTCTCTAAAACTGCTTCTTTCTGTTGGCCTCCCCCGGTTTCCTCTGTCCCATCTCCGGATAATTTGCATGATAGGAAAATAGGGCAATAGTCAACAACATACCCTCTGATAAACAGCCTCGCAGGGTTCATTTCAGGCCGCGGGATTGCGCCAGGGGCGCTAATTCAACTGCATTCGATGCGGCTTTTAAACCCCCACGGGACACCTCGGTGAGCTGTTTGCCTGCAGTATCTGGAGAAATTAAAGACGGACGGACACAAGAAAATTAAAAAGATTACTTGTGATCCTGCGGGCTTAGAGAAGGACTACCTGAAATTCCTCAAGTTACCTTCTGGCTCAATTCGAGGACAGCAAGAGCACCTCTTTCCTTAGCTGCCTATGGAGGGGGCGGGCTACTCTACCCAAAGGCCTGGGTTCTACGGGCCCTCAGTGGGCAGGGGACAGCAGGACACAGATATGGCAGAGCTTCGGGACAGTGCGTGCCCTGAGAGGTCACAGCTGGAGAGGAAGGACTCCCTGGGAGCCTGTGACTCCAGAGGGGGTCAGGAGGAGATCACAGTGGCTAAATGCACCCACCCCAAACTAACAACTTGAAGCACATGGTCATTGTCCTTTCTGGGTGCCCGGGGAATACAAGGGCTGAGTACAATTTAAATTCGAGGAAGAAAATGGAAGGACTCAGCAGGAAGGAGGCCACGCTACTCTACCAAACTGGAGGGGCACCTGAAGTCCCCTGACTCATCTTTCCAAAAGACAGACAGATCTCCTTTAAGTCTGCCTGCGTCATGGCCCCCCGGAGGGGGATCAGGAGAGTGAGTGTCAGATAGAGGAGAAGGGCACCCCCACCCCAGCCCAGCCCAGGAGGCCAGGCTAGAGACTGCAGGCAAGTGGGCTCTGTGGACGAGCCCAAGAGGTGGTCCCAGAGCTGTCTGTTTATTTCTAGATCACCGAGGTGATGGGGGTCCCCTGTGGACTCCTGAAATGAACCCTGGTCACTGCAGAGAGGGCGGGAGAGACACAGATGCCAACTTGACAATCACACCTATTCTGGTACGTCAACCTTTAAAACAGCAGATTCCAAAGTACAGAAAAGGCATTTTTAGCACTGCAGGAATCCAGAGCAACTCATGCTTCCAGAGGGAAGGTCTCGCTAGGACCTCGCCAGGAAGAGCCTTGCAAGGAAAAAACCTGTTTTTTCATCCCCCCCCCTCCATGGGGGATCCGACATATCCATTTCAAAGCAACGCTTTATGAATGCACATCGAAAAAACACTTAGGGAAACAAAAGCGCTGCTGGGGGAACAACGAACACGCGCACACACACATATGCATGCACATGCATGCACGCACGCAGTGTGGCTCTGAATCTCCGGCACATAATCTGCCTACTGAATACCCTAACGCGTCCCTCTGCTTTCCAAAGAAGACTCTGAATAGCGCACACCACAGAGAAGGCTGCAGGCGGTCCCCTCCCTGGGGCCATTTGTAATTCCTCATGTAGCAGCCGAAACAAACTAAGCTCAAGCTGATGTCCAGTGGATTAATCTCCAGGCAGGAGTCATTGCCTTTGGCCAGAAGATCCAGGAGCCCCCGGAGCCTCTGGCCCCTGCCCCCGCCTTCTGTGGCTCCGCTGTCCCCCGTGGGTGTGGCCCTCTTCCCTAAGTCCATGATGGGTAGAGAGCACCTTGATGGCAACTGAATCGACCGGATCTTCTTGATAGAAAACACTAGAAAATATGTCAGCGTTAAGGGGAGTCCTGGTTCCTGCTTCCGCAGAAAGCTGTGGGATGAGCTGCTGCTGTTTCTCTTTATAAGATCCTATACCTTCAGGCCAACGAATCAGCCTCACCACCAGGCACCACCAGCCGAATATCAGAGAAAGAACAAATTATTCACAGCCATCTTCCACCTTGAAAGCGAGTTTTTTTTTCATTGGTGAGTCTCCTACACTTTCCTCTTACCTCAAATGTAAGCTCTCTGGACACAAAGCAGGAAGAACACTTTAAGACAACCACTTCTGACTTGTGACACATTTAAAGACCAGACAACCACCTTTACAAATATGCAATGAAGCATCGTCATTGCCCACTGACCAGGAAAATCCACTTCTTCCTGATGATACAGCCTTCTGCCTACAGAACTCAGCAGGCCCAAAGACAAGGGAATGGGGCTGAATTCCCCCCTTAGGTTACTTCAAACCAGAACACTCCCAAGATGTCCCACTAGCTCGAGTCACCCAAGCAGTCCGGCGTCTCAGGCGAAAGCATTCATTTCTTCAGTTATTCCTATGTTTGGCCAGAATAAGGACCAGGAGGATACTGGGGTTTTCTTCAGAACGTCGTTTGTTGTCTTTGTATTTTAAAATAAAATGAATGTTTTCTTACAAACAGTCCATGAGAGGCATGAAGCCCAGTTGTTCCCGCAGGCTCTGCCAGTGGAGGTAATTCTGGAAGCCAACTCCCTTGGGACACAGGGGTGTCCCCTGCCAAGCAGCGCCGCACACGTTCCCCCAGCAGCAGGTGTATGAAGGACCCGCCCTTCCTTCTCCTTCACTGTCGGATACTGGCCCCCACCAAGAGAGCCGGCAGCAGGCACACCAGTCACTGCCCACAAGGGCCCGTGCTCAGTCATGTGCTGGGCACCAAACAGTTCACTGATCTAACACCTGCTCACTGATCCCCAACTTCTCCTTCCAATGAGCTGGGAGCCACAGGTGAGGTCCCATCGGGAGCCCTCCTCAGGGGAACCACAGGTCACCGAGCGGAGACCCTCCACATCCCAGCAGCTGGCTCCTCAGAGAGAGTGCTGGCCACCCTTCCAAAGTACCACCCTCTGTATCCTTAATCAGAACAGAGACAAGTCACCTGCCAGAGCTGCTGCTTTGAGATTTTTATCTCATTTTGTAACTGACAACATTCACAAAGAACAACGTATTCATCCATCCACGTTTATTAATCACCTCTTCTGTGCCCGGCACTGTGTTGAGAGCTAAGGTAGTTTAGTTGCCACGTGCTCTGGAAGCGGGGTAGAATCTGAGCATCACATACAACAGGCAGGTTTTCAACAGAGGAAAACCTGTGGGCGCCACACACAATACGAGGCCTACGAGCTCCACGGGATGAGTCACTCTGATAGCACTGCAGCTGTCCCGGAGATGACATGCCTCCCTTTTCTCTAGGAACCTTCCTGACAGCTGGGACCAACAGCACACATTCCCAATGACTTCCAAATGCCAACCCCAAGGAACTAGAGGAGAGAGGTTTTCCCATCTAGACATTCCCCCATCCCCAGTCTGGGGGACTCCTTCCCTTCTTAAATGGCAGAACCCAACTTTGCTCATCATTTCCACATGGAGACCCTTGAATCCCGATCTGTCCAGACACCCTGCCAGCCCCTCAAAGAGGGCCATTGCACCATCAGCAACGGACACGGCACACTGATCTTGGTGGTTGAGGAAAGTCTGCTCAGCTTGGCCAGCTCAAGTGGAAAACATGATGCCCATCTTTCAGTCTGTAATATTCCGAGTTTGAACTATATGAAACTATCTTTTTTGAAATGTCCGTTCCATATTCCAATGATGTACCAGCAGAGTACAGTGGCTGGCAGACTCAATGAAGCGCACTGAGGTCCACAACGTGAAAACTCTGATGAATTACTCGTCACCCCCTTCAAGAGAGCAGGCCCCCACAGAGCTCAGTCATGAACAGTCACAGATCTGAAAGGCATGCCCCGTCTCTATGTCCTATCATGTCAGCGACAGGCCTGACCCGGCCAAGTTCTAAGGACGCAATCAGAGACACTGGGGAATCTGCCCCACAAAATGTAATGGGTTTCACGGGCTCGGCCCCAGGAGGAGGAGGAGGAGGAGGATGAGGGTCCTTGAACCTAGAGCCCTCCCAAACACAGCGCTCCTGTGGCCCCACTGGGTATGGCCTCCTAGGTCCCTCCCAACTCGGACATTCTGCTCTAACTGGAGTTGGGGCATTCATTAGCTGAGACCACAGAAGAAAAGGTTTTCACTTACATCTTTCTGGTTGGAGTGGAAAAACCTGAGTGCAAAGTTACAGGCCTGGGAGGCAGCAGCATATTGACCTAGAGGCTCTGCGTAGCGGGTCAGAAGATAGCTGGAAGAAAAATCACAGGCAGGTCAGGATCGTGCATCCCCTGTGGGGCAGGCAGCCGCCAGGCACCACGCAGCGGGGCTCACGATGGGCAGCTCAGCCTCAAGGGGCTCCCTGGGCTACGATCTCAACCTGGGATTATTGTCAATGAACCTGATACTCCGATACAACCCAAAGCCTTCTCCAAAAGCATGCTTTAAAGGCTGGGTTCCAACCATTATCACAGAGTTTGGAGAAAACAGAGATACTAAAGGATTTCTTGCAAAAAAAATAATAACAATATTTTTTTAAAATCTCAGAGTTTTGACAGGTGGCCAAATGAGGCCTCACCTTCATCTCCGGGGAACAAACAGACAGACTTCACAATAAGGACTCACTGAGTCCGCCACAAATATGCCCCAGAATCTAGGGCACCCCTCACTCACCCCCTGGGCCAACCCCAGCTCTAACAGGCCAAGAGGACGCTGCAGACAGCTGGCAGGTCCAGTGAGACCCATTTCCTGGCGAGTCACAGGATTCTAGGATTTAGAGCTAGAGACCCGCCCAGTCTAACTCCCCCATTTCACAGAAGGCCCAGAGAAGGTGGAGGACTTCTCCCAAAGCCAGGATCTGAACGCAGCTCTCTGAAAGCCCCACTGAAGACTCCCCGGGCCTCTCTATCTCCTATCACGGAGGACAGCTTGGTCCCAGCATCCCTGGAGGAGGTGGGCAGAGTGGGGTGCACAGCATTCTGAGTATCTACTACCCACCCGATGGTGTCATGCTGGATATGTTTAGCATCGAGGCTGGAGTACAGGTCCACCACGGGCTCAAATGCCCCGAGCAGGCAGTAGATTCGGACGAGCAGCAGTTTGAACTGGGCATTGGAAGGACTGTGGGTCAAACCTTCTTCTAGCAATGTTAGGGCCTGCCACACAGCCCTCTCTTCACCTGGAGGTTTAAAAAAAAGGCAAATGATCCAATGACACTGGCAGGAAAATGGACACAAACCATCACCATGAGCAGATACCAAGAGGAGAGTTTCCAATGGGAAGGACCGCCATCGCCTGATGCGCACCCTTGCCAGCCATGGAACTCCCCCAAGATCTGGTGCCTTGACAGGCCCATTCAGGCTCCATTGCAAAGCGAGTTTTATCTCTGCAAAGCAGGGTCACCTCGATGGGGCTGCTCCTGGGCCCTGGCCTAGCAGGGAGGCAATGTGGGAAGGGGCTGTGAAGGCCACCTCGCCCAGTGCAGCCCAGGGCAGTGAGGAGGCAGCGAGGTGAGCCAGTTGGGGCCGACCCCAGGCTCGTCCTGGTAATCGTCTCAATCTAACATTGTCTTTCACCTACTGTGACTAGAAGCGCAAGTCATCTTTTGGGAATGGGTGAACAGACGGGGAAGAGCTCTAGAAACAGACAGCAAACTGTCCTACAGGAGCACAGAATGAAGACCCCACCTCAGTGGGCACTTCTATCAGATGCCCAGCACGGTGCAGTCATCCCGCCAGAGAGGGCCCCAGGGACCCGCAGACCTGCCCGCGGCGATGGCGTACCTGCTTCCAGCCACATGTCAATGAGCACGTGCACGGCAAGGAGGCAGTAATAGTCTGAAAACTGAAGCTCTGTTTTTAAACAGGATTTTCCTGGAAAGGGAAAAAAGCATCATCTCAGCATCAGGGAAAACCACATCTGTCCCACGCGCTGTGTTCACGCCTCATTTGTCCTCACTGCACTCAAAGCCTACATGTGACCCCTGCGCCTTACAGAACATTCTCAGAAGGCAGTTAGTGAACTGCACCTTGGATCATAGGCCACCATCAGGCTCAAAGGACACTCAGCAAAAAAACAGAAAAAAATGGGCAGGAGGGAGAATAGACAGTGGGATCTTTCACAACTCCAGGAAGGGGGAGACTTCTTAATAAAAAAAAATTAGGAAGCTTTTTTGCACAAACAAAATCAATTCAATTAGGAAGTATAAGAAGAGAAACTGTAGATTAGTAAAAATATAAATATATATATGCCCATCCTTGCACCACCTATCTCTTAGTCCAATATTCAAGATATCTAGGAATTAGCACAAATGTGGAAAACCAAGAACAATTCCCCAATGGCTAAATAGTTAAAGGATATGAACAATTCTCAAAAGAATTGTAAACTATAAACAACCATATTCAAAATTTTTTCAAATCACCAGTAAAGAAATGCAAATCAAAACAATTCTAAAGTTTCACATGGCACCCAGACACAATGGGTGGGAATGGCTGGGGCTGTCGGGCTCATGGGAAGGCAGGCAGCTTAATGATCCAGCTAGCTGTTCAGGGAGGCAATGATCCCTGCTTCCCCCCAAAAAAAGTGACTTAAAATGCCCATACACTGCAACACCCAAGAGATCTCACTCTGGGCACACACTCCTAAGAGGCCAGAGATGGGGAGAAACACCCCAGCAATAACCAGAAATGCACAGCAAACCTTTTTTTTATGATGGCAAAGGACTAGAAACAAAGAAGATCTGACCCATGAACCTAAGAGATTACTAGTGTGGCCTAAGAAACGGCACGAGCGTATGAAGATTTTGGAGAAACAGAAGAAGACACGTTGGTGTGGAGCCAGCGACTGCGACAGCAACATAGACGAGGCTGAATGCAGGTTAAGTAGGCCTCGGGGAGTGGAGAAAAGGCTCCTCCCTCCCTTCGTGGCAGAGGTGCGGGGCTATGGCCACGGAACAGGGCATGCACTATCAGATGCTGGTTTCTTTCCTAATCTCTGCCACAAGCGAAGGATTAAGGGGAACCAAAGGGTGCAGGTTTGGAAAAAAGCAAAACCCCAAACAAGCAGTTACAGAACTAAGTTGACCACAACCACTGTTTTTATTTCTGCCCAGCTGTGCTTGGATGGCTTGGTGGGGTGGGATGACCCTGGGGCCTTGAAAGCAAAGGCGGAGGAGAGCGGTGCAGTATAGGAATGCTGGGCTTGGTGTTGGAGGACCTGGGTTCCAATCCTGGCTCTGCTACCTACTGCCTCCCTGTGTGATCTCAGAGAAGGCCCTTCCCCTCTTGGCCTCAGTGTCCTAATCTGTCGCTTCTGAACACCAGAGCCAGCAGCCTCCCAAGCTGCAGAAGCAAGCCGGGTGTCCGCAGCGAGAGGACCAGCCGCGAGGTGGGCCGCAGCCTCGAGAAAAGGTCGCCCCTCCATACCCACACTGATGAAACCGGAAGCCCAGGGGCATCTGAAGGGCACATCTGTCTACAAAGAGACACACTATTTTATCCAGAGACCGATGCTCATCGTGTCATCTCGTTGTTGTATTTTAAGATGAGCCAAAAATGGGCCAATACAATAAACAACACATTTCCCAGGCCTCGAGGAGGTCAGCGGTCAGCAGGGAGGACAGCCTGGCCCTCAAGCCCGGGAAGGCAGCTCACCAAATTCCAGGCCGTGCTGGTATCTCAGCATCAGCTCCCGGACCACCCTCAGCTTCTGATCCTTGTCTATGCCGTGGTACAGGCCCAGGAGGCGCATCAGCTGCACCACACACAGGTGCTGCTGCAGGCCCTTGATGTCAGCGGGCAGGGCCAGCTTATCTTCTGTGGGGGTGGACAGGGGCACCTCTCCCAGGAGCTGATTGATGAACTGCCAAGGGCAAACAGAGGCAAAGCTTGTAAGTAAGTCAACCTGGTCTTCCCACCCATCCACGCCCACCCCCTTCCCCCCCTGCCCAGGCCTGGTCGTATCTGTTCCAGCTTGGCTAGACTTGACCACCCTGCAGCCTCACAAACTGCTCTGGGACGGCCTCTCCCCCCGGGGGGGGGCAGGGCCTGGAAATGGAGGGTCCTCTCCCCAGGGCGGTCGCCAAGTGCTGATCTCCCCCACCACCACCGGTGAAGGCACACATCACCAGGGCTGGGGGCAAGTGATCGCCTGAACTCCTAACACCCCTGGATCTCTGGACTTAACAAAGAGCCCTGCGGTCTGGGCCAGAGAAGACACAAACCTGGCCTCATTCCTGGAACTCACTCCCTCCTAACTCCCTGCACCCCTTCTGAGACAGGCCACCGTGTAATGGCCCAGTTAGGGCTGGGGCTAGCCACACTGACAAAATGAGCGAGATCTCGGACAGCTCAAGTTAAATTCCAGGAGTAGCTAAGTTTATTTCGACAACTGTGTGCAGAGACCATGGTGAAGAAGAGGTGCTGTGTGGAGCCAGGACAAGGTGAATGCCCTCACGGAGCTTACGGTTCAGAGGCAGAGGAGAAACAAAGAGAGGTAAGGAACTCCAACTGATGATCACACAGGGCTGGAGCCCTAGCTCACAAAAACACAGGTCCACGGGAGCTGGGGGGTGGGGCAGGGGGAGCGTCCAGAGGCCAGGCTGGCTGGAGAGTGGAGAGGAAGAGGACGTATGACAGAACCACACCGAATATCAGAGTGTGAAGAGACCAGTGTAGACCTTTCTTCCACACCATCATCATCCTCAGCCTCATTCCCACAGCAGCTAGCATTCATCAGACGCTTTAAGGTTCACAAGGCACTGATCCTCACAAGGGCCCTGTGAGGTGGGTGCTATCATCATCCCCTTTCTCAGATGAGGAAATTGAGGCCGAGTGACGTGCCTGGGCTCCACAGCTAGTGACTGTCTGAGGTTGGCCGCCGTGCCCCTCGTCCTGACTCTGGGGTCAAAAGGAACAGGGCAAATCCCTCTTCCGTGGGACATGCTGTCAAACACACGACTCAGCTCTCTTGGCTTCCCTGATTAAACATCCCTGGTGCCTTCAACCAGGCGTGATAAGGACTCAAGGCCCCCCACCATCCCCAGATGCTGATGCATGGTACCACGGACTCTTGCCTGCTTCCTCCTAATGCTCTGCCCCTCTGAATGCAGCCCCAGGTGATGTTAGCATTGTACCTGCTCACTGAGGCACGAGGAAGCATGGCACCAGTGTCTGGGGCCTTGAATGGTGAGGAAACCAGCTGGCCCAAGAAGCCACTGTGCTGGCCAAGAGTGATCTATGAATGCATGGGTTTGGGCAGTAGGGTGAGGGGCAGCCCGAAGAGGACGAGAGCCCAAGTTCTTCACCGGGGGCCACGGACACTTTTTTAGTATTTTGATAACCGCATTTCAACATTATTGGTTTCCCTGTAATTTGTGCATTTAAGAGAGGATTCTAAGAAGGGGTGCACAAGCTTCCCCAGGATGCCAGAGGGGCCCAGGACACAGGAAGCTAAGACCTAGCAGGACGTGACAGGCAGGCCACAGGAGATACAGGCTGGAGCTCACAGAGCAGGACCACGGACACACATGCGGAGACGGATGGTGTGGCGCCTCTGAAGCCAAGAAAAGAGCCGGCTTCTCCAAGAGGGAACCTGGCACCAAATGTTCCAATCCCGTTAACATGGATTAAGAGTTTACAAAGCCAATCAATCCATCAATAAACACTGATTAAGCGCCTACCAGATGCACTATGCTAAATGCTGGGGAGACAAAGGACCGTCCCTGCCCCTCACGGGGGAGACAAGATGCAGACAAACATACAGACAGTGAGCTAGGCAGAGGATAAGTAAGAAGCAATAAACAGAGGGAAGGCACTGGAATTACAAGGCACAGGTGCCCCCGGAATAACCTGCACTCTCCTGGAGACAAGAGAATAGAAGAAGGGTCATTGGACTGGACGGTTAGTAAGTCACTAAGTCACCTAAGAGAGAGCTCAGGGAGGAGGCAGATTCCAAGGGGTGGAAGAAAAGAGGCGGTGGTACGGCAAGAGAGATCGCCAGGCTCGGCCTAACAGAGACCGCGAGGGCCGGAGGCTGGGAGGACGTGACTGGTCGTACACCCCGTATGTCCCTCATTAACACAGAGCAAACAGACTCAGAAATGACCTGGCAGAGTTTCTGGGATTCTCAAACAACCCAGTCAAATCAAGGCTGTCTCAGAAAAGCTGTCAGTCCTCAGTGCTCCATTCCCAGACAGGAGCCTGTCTGTGTGCCCCAAGATCCTCCCCCGGGGGCAGATGCTTACCTTTGTACACTGCGAGGCAGGCAGAAGGTCAATAAACACCTTCAGGTCAGTGAAACAACAAGGCTTGTCTCCAAATTTTTTGAAATATTGAAACATTAACTCTTCTGGATCACCTAGGAGATACAATCACCAAATTACCGAAAAGACAAAGAACATTCAAGGGCACGTTAGAATGGAAGCTATGCAGAGCTGTGAGCGTGGTGCCAGTAAACCGTCAGACCTGGACCACTCACCGGCTCCAAAGTGGCAAAGGCATGATGGGCAGGGAGGGTGAAAAGAGGACTGGCCTGTCAAGAACAAACCACGAAACCAAGGCCTGATTCGAGTGGAAGGATCTGAACTCGGGTCTTTGGACTCCAAGCCCGCCATTCTACCCCCAGTGCCAACCTCTCTGTCTCATGCTGTGGGGCCTCAGTCCGGAAGACCCGCTTCCAAATCCCACCTCTGACACCGACTGGCCGGGTGAGCCCAGGGGCGTCACGTCACCTCACACAGAACCCTAACACTCTACACTGGTCCCACACACCGGCAGAGACAGCTTCCTCACCCCCAGTTCACCACACTGGTGAGGTCACGAACTAGAGCAGCCCCCTCCCCCCAAAAAACCGTACTTCAAGATTACAGACCTAACGGCCAAATAGTGACAAATCGAATCCGTGCAAGAGAGTGACCCGGATTTTAAGGAAACCCTTTCTCTGCAATACTTCCTATGGTGCCTCTGAGCCCTTCCATTTTAGTAGGAAGAAATGTATGAAAGATGACGTGTACTTGGGCACCCGCAAAAAAGGGTGTGTGCGTGCGTATGTGTGTGTATGAGTGTGCGTGCGTGTATGTGTGTATTTATGTGAGCGTGCACGTATGTGTGTATAAGTGTGTGCATGTGTGTATGAGTGTGTGGAGTTGTGTGAATGTGTATGTGCTCAGGTGTATGAGTGCATGTGCGTATTGCATGCGTAGGAATGCGTGAGCGTATGTGTGTGAGTGTGTGCTTGTGCATGTGTGTGCACATGCGTATGTGTGCATGAGTGTGAGCATATGTGCACGTGCGTGCATGTACTGGGCACTCCTGAGTGGCAAGGCAGAAGAGCTATGAACTAGTCATTTTGTCAGCATTTTGTCAAGGTTCATTCTCTGGCAGCAGACTCAGTACCCTCATCACAACTGGGTGATCTTAAAATGCATTTACACGCTCAGAATCTTCTTAAGCAGGTGGGCAGGGTGGGGCTTCCTAAGCACGGGAGAAGCTACCCCACCACCACCCATGTGCCTCCCCACCATGGGGGCACCCCAGCAGGGGCCTGCCCACTCCTCACCCAGCTTGTGCTCATCATTACAGCCCTGATGCCGCAGGCGTCGGATGAGCTCCAGCTTGGCCAGGTACGGACCCCGAAGGTGCCGGGAGCTCTTTGACTCCTCCAGGATCCTCTCTTCAATGAACCTGATGGCTTCTTCTGCGGAATAATGAACTTCTCCTTCCAGAGAGCTGGGGACAGATGCACAGACACACAGACTCTTGGGCCTCTCCCCCACCTCCCAAACCGAGGCCCAAGAAGGCCACTGCCAACGGGGAGGAAGCAGGGAGCACCAGACGACAAAGGAGGTCACGGGCCAGGTCGTCTTATTTGTTACAAGCTTTATTGGCAGCTCATTGTTTTTACAGCACAATCACTTCTGTGAAGATGCCCCTCCAGGGGATCACCACCACGGTGAGTGACATCTGACAATGTGGACAATGCTCCGCCCCAGGCATCCCCCACCTCGCTTCCACTCTCTGAAGCACGCCCGTCATTCTGCTCAGGGGAGGCTGGGAGAGATGAGTGCTGTCGTCCCAGAAAGGCTGGCCTGCCCCTCATCTAGAGCTGCTGGGGGCTGAGAGGAGCCCAGGGGGCTGCCTTCCCCTCCCAACCACCCACGGTGAAGGTAGAAAACAAATCCACTTACTGTTCTCCTTCTGCAGGAGGGGTCCAGGCTTCCTCGATGAGTTGAAAGACAGAGTCAAAGTAAGTCAGATAGAACTGCCAGTCATCTGAGCTAAAATCAAAGAAGACCAAGGCATCAGGGACCATTAAAGTCGCCCCCTGGCCTTGGGAGCCACGACCCTCCTCTCTCCTCCACAACTGGGCCATGGGCTCGAGAGGGGGAGAGTGCGCGTCCCGTCAGGGGCTCCCAAAGCCATGGGGCATGGGGCCGCTGCTCACCCCACCCTGCCAACGCGGCAAGCTCACACTCACTTCTTTAACAAAAGCCTCCTGGACAGTGCGTTGCACTCCGGCCACCGGCTCAGCTTCTTGTACATGGCCATACACTTGTTTTCTCTGCTCTGGAGCTCACTGGTCAGCTTCTCTACAACCACAAAAGGGATTCATTTAAAGGGATTCCTTGCCTAAGAAGAAGTCTCTTTGTGGACAATACTGGGAAGGGGGACCCTGGAGGTTACCCCGTCTTCCCGACAATCTGCCGCGGGTCAATGAGCTCCCTTCCCTCCCTCTACCATCTGTGAAACAGCAGGAATGAGGGACGTGTTTCCCGAGGAGGCACAGGCTGGTGCCTGGGCACAGTGGCCGAGGGCTACTGAGCTTTGGCCAGGGTTAGAGAAGGTGGAGGGGCAAGGGAGAAGGGGTGATGAGGAAGAAGGTGACACCAAGGAGAAAAATGAATCCTGCCCTCTCAGACATCCCAATTCCCAGGGCTGAACACAGGAGAAAGGAATCCAATCAGACTTGGCAATTTAACCTTAGCATAGCTCGGCAAGTGAGGATTAGAAAGGATTTTAATGCTGGGGCACAGCTAGAAGGCCCCCGCACAGAAGGGGCGTCCTCCACATGGTCACTCCACCGACAAGGAGAATAAATGACAGAAAGACACTGTAAACTCAGCAGTGCCCTGCCACAACGTGTAACCTGCAGCCCACAGGCATTACAGCCTTGCCCACCTCCCCCACTCCAGCCGCCTGACTGCTCCCCAGCGCTCTGCCCACCACATCCCTCTGTCTCTTCTCCTTCAGAACAAGTCAGGTTTAGAGGCTCAAAGGCCAACAAAAGCCAGGATGGGCCACGAGGGCCTTTGTTAACCAACATGAAATTGTGGCGTTAACTCCAAGAGTCGCACTGGGCTGAGGACATCACAAAAGGGGGGAAGCCCAGCCCAAGGCCAACCCCCAAGTGGCACCTCCCCATCCACGGAACCAGCTGCTCCCAGCGGGGGAAGAAAAGATTCTGCAGCTGCTAAGGAAAGGCAGCCCAGGTCAGCCCAAGCAGTGTGTCAGGGGATCCCGGTTCAGATCCTGTCTCTGTGCGGCCAGTGCTCAGTCACTTGTTCCCCCCCTTCCCCCGGAAAAGGAGAGGCCTGAACGATGGCCCCTGGGGTGGAGGATCCTGTGATAATCAATCCCCATGAAGAGAGGATCCAGCCACACCACCCTGCACCGTGCTGAAAAGATTGGGGACGTCTGTGACGGGTGCTACAAGTGCATCACTTAATTTAAGATCTCGTATTATAGGAAACTAAGCCCTTTTGGTGAAAGGGCCTTATCACAGCCCGAAGGCCCACACCAGGCAACCCCCTGCACACCCCACCCTGCGCCCTGACCCACAGGCAGTCACCTCCTAGCTTGCCTCTGATGACATCCAGGGCTTCCTGGTACTTTCCCAAGCGCTCCAGGATCATGTAATAAAGCTCAACCTGAGGAGTAAAACCCAAAAGAAAACGAGAACCAGTGAGATGCTTCCAGGCAGAACGGCTTCACAAAGCACAAAGACAGGCGCTGGCTGCCACCTGGAGGAAACAGGCTGAGAGGACCTGGAGGTTTATGGATGTTGACAACTAGGCATGGCTCTGAGCACCCACAAAAACACATTCTCGGGCCCCTTCCCAGATCAGGTGCCCCACCTCGCTCACAGAGACAGAGCACATGGGTGAGTCGCTTTACAAATCCTTGAATCCTCCAGTGGGGCATTTATAAAGCACCTACTACGGGTCTGGGGGGGAGGGAAGGTGCTAAGTGCTAGGGACACACCATCCAGAGTGAAAAGCTGTCAAGCTGCACGATCTCAACCCACACTACTCTGCGGAAAGACTTTGAGGCCACAGTGCCCTGGCCTGCAGGGTCACAATGAAGGCCATTCTGGCACAGCGGTAACAAAACCCGTGGCCAGCATTCTCCTGCACTCTCTCTATTTGATCCTCAAAACCGCCCTGTAAGGTCACTGGTTTGAGCAGTGTGACGATTTCCATTTTGACAAACGAGGAGACTGAGGCTCAGTTTCCTTGCCTTGCCTGAGATCCCACTGCCAATAAGCACCAGAGCTGAACTATGAGCCCTAGTGCTCTGACGGCAGCCCCAGCCCTCGTCGGCTCAGTCTGCCGCTCCCCAAGGTCGTACAAGGAGAAAACGCGACCTCAGAATACCTACTTCAGCCTCAGCTTCGATCTTGTCCTCCTTCACCATCTTCTCCACCATTCTCTCAGCAAGGGGCAAAAACATGGTTTTGGAGAGGTTCTCATCCTGTGCTGATATGGACTAAGGGAAAGGAAAGACATTGGTCAAGGCGTCACACGAGCGGCCTTGAGCGGGACGCTTCCCCGACCCAACTCTGTCAAGAGCCAATCGATGCTGACAACTAGCCATCCTCACTGAGATCTACAAAGCCGATCCAAGCAAGGGCTGATCTCAAGCTCTACGAAAATACTCATTACAACAAATTCACCTTGAGGCTTCTTCAGACAGCGAGCTCCCCCAGCACACAAAACTCCCCAGAAATGTCTATCTTGTAAATGGAGGCACACCCACACAGGGTCATGCTGGAAGCCATGAATCGCTTTTCCCTTGGACGTTTCCGAGGTGGCCAGGGATGGTGGGAGAAGCGCTGGGCTCAGTCGGCGAGCCTGGGATGACCCACATGGCTACACACAGGTCACAGAACCTTTGTCCACCGTCTCCTATCCCGTATAATGGAGCAGCAGCAGCTGCCTCAGAGGGTGGCCAGAGTCCAAATGCGAGAACGCTCTAGCTGTGGGGCACTTTGAGCTTTTCTCTTTGGCAGCTGGGCCAGGACAGAGTTTGTAGGCATACAGTATCACCAGAAGACCTCTAGGGCTCCTACTGAAGGTCACCCGCGGCCTGTGTTCTCCTCCCACCCCCAATATGAGCTCACTGCTGGCAACTAGAGACTATGTCTATTTATGAATAAAGCAGATGAACCTGAGGCTTTTTAACTAACTTTTGAGTTCTGGACTGGCTAATTGATTCATCTCTGAAGACCCAAAAACCTTATTAGCCCTCCCTAACCCCCTCTCCCCCAAGATCTGCTGCCATGACCCGGGGCAACAATATCACTGGAGATTAAGACGACAAGTAGAAAAGATCAACCAGGACATAAAAGCACACTCTATCTGCTAGTGAGGAGAGGCAATAAAAACTTTGATTGTGAAAAGTAAACAGACAATACTCAAAGTACATATTTGAAAATGGCCCTAACCCCATATCCCTACTAGAAGAACATGAGATAAGCGAGTTATTGAGGGCAACGATAGGGAGTCTAAAAAGGTCCCCCTCCCCCTACGGCATTCTGAACCCCATACTCACTTGCATAATTAAACTCATGACAGACCAGAAGTAATAAGGGTTTTTTGGTACAATCTTATAAAGTGCCATTCCAGCCTGAAAGAGAAAGACAGTCTTTAACTCAGGAAACTTCTCAGACCCAATGAAAGCACTCAACGATCCCAGTACCATCATGCTAACTGATCGCCAATACAAGCCCCGTCCTGCCCAGTGCTCCTACAGCCGGTCTGAGATAGGCAGCCATCTCTCCCTAGGCAACCACCAGATATTGGCTTGGGGATTTGCCTAAACGAACCCACTTCATCTGAGACATCACATTGCTATGGACCCAAAAGAAACCAGCTCCAAAAAATAACACACACTGCATTCTCATTTCAAAATGAACACAGAGTAGCCTGGAGCATCGGAGGGCAGGGCAAGAAGACACAGGCGTCCCAAGATTTCATTGCCACCCCTGGGCCGCTCCTGCCGTGTGAAATCTCACATGCCAATCGCACTGGTGTGCACGATCAAGGACAAGGTCCCCCGAGACAAATCTCTTACCCTCTTTTGCAGGGCTGGGGGAGTCACAGTCAAAAGCAGCCTGGTAAACAGCCTAAAGCCAAAAGAGGCGAGAAACAGGCCGGCCGCACATCACCCTGACCAGGCCACACTTGCTGATTTTAACAATGACCGCCCATGGGCCACAGTTTCCACTGCAAACACTGGTCTGCCAGGGGAATCCTAAAGGGTAAGTGTGACTGCTGGGGTCTTTCTCTAGCTCTCCTCTTGTGCTAGGAAGATTTCTGTTTAATATGATCCCAAACCCCAATATGAATATCAAAACAAATGAGCACATGAAGGGGGAGCTGCCACAAGAAAGTCTAAAGCCAGGCTGCCTGGCATTTCTCAAATGGTCCCTGCAGGCCCTGACACTGTATTTATTGTAGAAAGGAGTCATGTGCAATCACAGGAGAAACACGGGACCAAAAGAAAGCATTGTTGTTAAAGGGCATATGAGTTATGTCCCACAAACACCTAAGTAGCGAAGAAGATAGTACTTAGGAAAGCAAATCCATTTAAATGACAGAAAGGAAAGCCAAGCCAGCAACTAAAAATAAAGTGGACCTGAAAGCTTTTCTAGGCGAATCTACTTAGCATGAAGGTTATTTTCTAGGTGTGTTGGGACTGAGACTGTCTTAATATAGCAGGCTTCTCATCTACCTGAGTCCTTCACTTTTAAAAAATCAGGGGGAAAAATTTCAGACATTCTCATTTCTAGGCACAATTAACCTAATCTGAAAATGCTGAGACAAGCCGTAACCCACCAGAGCCAGCTTACCAAAGTCCCAATAGATGCTTTAAGGATAAACACTTTCTATCATCATTGTACGTTACACAACTGTCGCGTATTTGTGGACTCCTTCAAATCAGACTGTGAACTCCCAGAGGGCAGAACTTTGCCCCAAGCATCTGGTCATTTCTCACAGAAATGTTTTACATAGAGTAGATGTTTAATAAATGGTTGATTCACTAACAAATTAAAAAAAAGCCCATGAGTATTTCTTTCTGGACCAAAGATACTTTGCAAACAAAGTAAGAGGCAGTAGGGCCCACCAGAGAGGATGGATGATGAAGGAATAAATACAGGAGCATTTATTAACCTCTTACTTACCATGTGCCAAGAGCTGGGAGTACAGAGGGAAGACGGGAGCTAGCCCCTGCTCTCAGGGAGATCACATTGAGTAGGGGGAAGGAAACACACAGGCAGGGGCTGGTAAGGCCCAGGCTCCTCTGGTCACCTTGGGATGCTGGTCCCACAGGAGGGGCCACCAGCAAAGGGACAGGAAGGTTGAGGGTAGGCTCAGGGGTAGGGAAAAAGACAGTGTTCCAGCTAGGTTCCGGATTTGGCAGGGGCCCTCTAGGAACCCCATGGGGTCTGGGGTGATGGGGGGGAGGGGCGGAATCCAGCTTGGCACCAGGTCTGGCTGGGGCTCTCCAGATACCGCAGAATGGGAGGTAGGGCCTGAGGTGGCCTGGAAGGGGGAAGGAGAAGCTGGAACTTGGGAGTTAGGAAGACCTGGGTTTAAATCCTGCTCCAGATACTAGCTGTGTTACTAAGGATAGGTTATTTATGCTCTCTGGGCCTCTCAGCTTCCCATCTGTGAAATGGGAATAGTAGCACCTACCACAGGGCTGTGAGGATCCAATGTAAATAAAGTACTTTGTAAACCTCACATCTTAACAAATGCTAACTAGCATTAATATTAATAAAATAACATCATAAGCCACGCAGTTGGCTCTTTCGGGCCTACTCTAGGATTTTTGTCCTTTTCAGTCTCTCAAGAAGCAATGGTGCCAGACAAAACAAAGGGTATTCCGAGGTCAGAAGAATGGATGGAGAATGCAGTGCCAGCTCACTCTTCCAACCCACAAGAGAAGCGTCCCCAGCCAGCCTCCCGGCCCTCGCTGCCGCGGCCGCCAACACCTGCTGTGGCCAGTTACCTGCTGCATCTTCTTGTACTCCCCAACTCGAGCATAGGCCATGAAGAGGTGGGAGTGGTACTCCTCGCTGTTGGGGACCTTCTTCACAGCGGCCTCGTAAAGCTTGGTGACCAGTTCCGCTGTGACAGAAACAGGCGAGACGGGTGAGATTTCACTAACAACAGCTCTTCCCCATTTGGCCAAAGGGGCTTCGACTCCACTCAGTCAACAAGCATACATTAGGGGCTTATGATAGGCCAGGCACTGTGCTGAGCCCTGGGGATACGAGGACCAGCAAAACCATCCTGCCCTCAGGGAGTTTACATTCTACTGCAGGGAGAAGAACACAACATCTCCACAGAAAATTAAATTTGAAATATGGATGACAAAATTTCCAAAGAGTGCTCTAACAGCTGAGGGCGCTAGGAGAGGCAAAGGTGGCATCTGATCTGAGGTCAATGAAATTAGGGCCTGATTCTGCATGACTGGAGAGGTGGACTGGATATGTAGGGGGAGGTGGAAGGAGGCACACAGGATGACGCCGGGGCCGCCAGTGTGGGCGACTGGAGGATGGTGGTGCCCTCGGAGGAAGAGGGAAAGCAGTGAGCTCTGCCTGGTCACAGAGCCCACGCCAACTGACCCACTGCCCCTCTGCGTGAGTGGCACACAGCAGGCCCTTAACAAATGAACCCTTGAGGAATGGGACTGATGGTCACACTCTTCGCTCCCCTGAAGAGGAGCTAACGCCTTGCTCCAAACTACTTGGAACAGCAAAGAATGGGGAGAAGGAGGTCAATGCTGGTGGACAGAGTGGGAAGGAATGAGCAAATGAGCGAACAAGGAAGCCTGCAATCCTTGGTGGACCCAGAGTCCTGTGAGCCCTCACCAGTGCCCCGAGCTGCTGCTCTCGGGGCTCCGACAGCTGGGAGGACTGAGTGGAGCCGCTGGGCCCTGCCCGGCTCCTCCCTTCCCAGTCCTCATTCCTTTCCTCTGCCCAGCCCCCACATCAGCTGCCAGTGCTCACCTCCCCTCTGGACATCTAAATTACAAGGGATACTTCAAGGAGACAAAACCCAAGTGTGCACAAAATCATAATGCCTAAAAGTGCCTCTCCACTTTTAAAAGAGACACAACGTTATTAAAAACAAAGCTGAACAAAAGACCCACGTCTGTGCATCTCCCGATAAAGGATGGTCAGCGCCTGCAGGGAATTGTCATCGGTGGGCTCGAGGGCGGCGACTTCTCGTGCCAGGGCGAAGGCGTCATCCTGTTTCCCAGTCCTCTGTAACCCAATCGCTTTTAATACCTATGGAGGAAGGAAAGAACCAGCTGCCAGAAAGGGAATGGAAGAGACTCAGGGAAGGAAAAGGAACCCAGAGATTTCATTCCAAAGCAGAAGACGGAAACAGATTTTCACTTTTTGGTGAATCTGATCTGCCGGCCTCCCTTCTCTCACTGGACACGCATGGGGACCACACAGGACCTCATTGCAAGTGATCTGTGAGAGGCCACGTACAGAGAAAGGAAAAATGAGTTTTCTAGCTTCGAGCAGACGGTGGCACTTGAGCGGAGTTTTAAACGGATTTAAGAACTGAATTCTCATAAATGGAGGGAAGGGTGTGGACTCAATGTATAATATGGAGGTGGAAAAGACAAGACCGTATAGAAATAAATGCTTAAAAGCATGTGTAGTATTTCACCTTTAAGCCAATACAGTCTGAAAAGCCACAGGTGAATAGACACTTCGGAGGTTAATCAGCAAAAGACTTTAGAGTGGCTGGAAGACCAAGTATGAGCAGTAGGAGGAGGGGTGTGAGTATGAC